ACTCGGGATAGGATATACCCGTAATATGTTCCATTCTGTGTTAGAGACTAAAGGTATTATAATTTTGAAAAATATTTTGTCATCTATTGTGAAGATTTTAAGATCACTGATGTCGAGTATGAATTGAAAATGTTCGGTTTTGGCAGAGATCGCGGTGTTGTACATCTGGCTACCTATTGCCTTGGCGTAATTTTCTATAAATTCATCGGGGTCGAGTATTTGTGGACTAATTATTCCTTGTTTGCCTAATATCATGACGTTAAGTATTTCATCTAATTGGAAGTGTAAAGTTTGCATCGCGGTATCAAGTTTCATGATCATCTTAAGCATAAATCTATCGATATTTGCCTGCCGTTGTTGTTTCAATATATCGCTATATGATTTCTCTAAGTGGTTTAGGCTTTCTGAGTTTACAATTTTTCTAATAAGTGCTGTTGGATTAGCTATTATGGTCTTGATTTTATTATTGTCATCGAATAGTTTGTCCATATTCACGTTTATGAGCGTAAAATCGTCATCGTCGAGAGTTCTGAACAGACTTTTTGATACGGAATCTATGATGTTGAGTAAACCTCATGTGCTTCGGATATGTGTTAACGCTTTCAAGTGTTTTGCGAGTTGTTTTAGGTTATTGATACGATTTTGTAATCTGTCTAACTCTTCAGCGTATTCTTTGCTGATTGCACGTGAGTCTATTTTTAATTCATATGATTCTATTGTGCTAATCTGCTCGCATATGTCGCTAGTGTCAAATCCTACTATAACATTGGCAGTATCGCCGTAAAATATCCTTCTCCTATGTTTTCTACGAATACAGGGTTTTCTTCTAATGGTGTAATATTTATTTGCGCGGATATTATTCCGGCAAAGAGGAGCGTCGACCTGGAAAGTAAGGTTTTAAACGATTACCGTGTATCTTTTTGTCTTGAATCAGATAGTATGGAGTACATACTTTATCAATCGTGTATGGTCCTAACCATTCCACATCAAGTTTATGCCTTTTATGATCGTTATGTATTAAAACGGAGTCTCCTTCTTTAAAAACTGATTGAGGTTTTATAATTTTACGTCTTTGGTCGCGCTGATATCGCTGTTTACTTTTGATCAATGTTTCGCGAGCGTGTCGGAGTCTAGAGTCTCATTCTTTTTTGCGGAACGTGACTTCGTCTGCGTATGTGCGTTGGGGATTCTTGGATATTGTGGAGGGAAGATGGGCTGGGTGTCCGAATGTAAATTCGAATGGCGTGTAACCAGTGGAGTCGTGTATCATTGTATTATATGCAAGGCATACAAAGTTAAGTTGATCGTCCCATTCCTTATCCGAATTTCGCTGTATCGATTTTAACATGTCTGTTACTACTGCGTGTGTTCGTTCTAAAGATCCGTTACTTTGTGGGTGGAAGGATGTCGTTTTGATATGTTTGATTTCGAACGCGTCTTCGTACTGTTGCATCAAACTAGATATAAAATTCTGTCCGCGGTCAGTTAATATTTTTTTTTTTGGAGCGGAAAAGATGTAAATGTAATGATTCAAGAGTGCGTTCCAAATTGTTTCCGTTTGCTAGGTCTTTAATGGTACGAGTAATAAGTATTTTGTCAGTTCGTCATGTATGGATAGAATGTACTGATTGCCTTTCTTCGTCTTTTTCAATGGGTCTAATAAATCCATAGCAATTTTATCGTTTGGTTCGAGGGGTGTGTCCTTCAGGAATAATAAAATTCGTTTGATCGCGTTCTTCTCGGTCTGTGTGAAACTGTCGTCGCCTATACCTATCTTCTGGTTTGTATGAATAATTTCGTTTAATTTAGCTAACCATTCGATTCTGTCGTAATTTCCTAGCTCCGTTTTGGATAATTGATAGAAAGATTTACGGTTCGGAGTCATTTTGAGAATTTTGGGTAACGCGTCGGTAGATTTTTCCCAATCGTGATACTTTTTATCAAGTTCTATGTTAAAATTTTCGCGTCGTCTGGTCAGAACATGTATTCTAGTTCGTATATTCTATGTCGTATTCATATTCTTCTAATTTTAATTACCATCTCATCAAGCGTGATGAGGGGTCTTTGCAGTTCTGTAGCTAATAGATATTGTCGGAGGCGTTTCACGGCCCATACTATTGCTAAAAGTTCTTTTTCTGTAGTGGAATAATTTTGTTCCGGTGGGTTTAGAGTTCGCGAGATATAACAACATGGATGTCCATCCTATGATAAGATCGCACCTATACCTTCGTTACTGGCGTCAGTCGTTAATGTGAATTGTTTTGCAAAGTCTGGGAATTTCAATACGGGTGATGAACAGAGTTTGTCTTTTAATGTCTGGAATGCTTCCTGGGTTTTATCTGTCCAATGAAATGGTGTCTCCTTTTTTGTAAGTTCGGTCAATGGTTTCACGATTTTGGAAAAATTTCTGATGAACTTGCGGTAATAACCTGCTAGTCCTAAGTAAGATTTGATGTCTGTGGGATTACGTGGCTGTTTGAAATTGCAAACGGCTTCTAATTTTTTGGGATTTGGCTTTACACCTAAGGAATTCACATTTATCCGGCTGTATTTTGAATCCGAGTTCGCGTAAGTGTTGCAATATTATCGCGAGGTTGCTATTGTGCTCTTCAATCGACTATCGGAATATTATAATATCGTCTAAATAGACAAAGCAATGTTTATTTATAAGTCCTCTTAGCGCGGTATCCATCATGCGTTGGAACATTGCAGGTGCATTCTTTAAACCGAATGGCATTCTATTGTAATGGTAGTGCCCTCGTAGTGTGGAGAATACTGTGTATTTCTTAGAGTCTGTGTCCATTGGGACATGGTGGAATCCGGAGGATAAATCGAGGGCTGAGAAGAATTTTGCATTGCCTAGTTGGGATAGTATGTTGTCTATGTCGGGTAATGGGTCTTGGTCAGTTAGCTCGTTTATTTTTCTGAAGTCTATTACGATTCGCCATTTCTGTTTCCCTGAGGCGTCTGCCTTTTTCGGTACTACGCAGACTGGCGAATTGTAAGGGGAATCAGATGGTTCTATGATGTTCTTTTGTAGTATTTTGTCAATTTGTCGTTTAATTTCCTCTTTGTGGCATTCGGATGGTCGGTAGGATTTTGTGTTAATGACTTTGTTCTGTTTTAACATTATTATGTGCTTAGTAAGGTTAGTACAAGGTAAAAAGTCGGTCTCTAAATTGAATACGTCGAGGTAAAACAGCAATATCTTTTCGATTGGTTCGCAGAGAGTTTTCTCTATATGCGAGAGTCTGAAATCTAAAAACGACATACTAAATCTTTCAATGTGGAGACTTGATCATATGTATTTGAGTTTTCGATAAGACTGGTTATTTTGGCTGGGCACTCACCGCCATTGATAAAGCATACCGTTGTCGGTTTTCCTTCCAAGTAAACTGTCTTTGACACTGCTTGCTTCGGGGGTACGTTGTTTTCCTGTTGCAATAAAAGAATACTGCCGTCAAGCTTTAGTTCTTGGTTCGAGAGTTGAAATTTGAATTTAGATAGAGCTGGTAAACCGAGTATGTCGTACTCTATGATTCGAAAATTGTCATCTACTACAAAGAATTCTAGAGTTTTACCGAATAATTTCACAAAGGCGTGTACATTAGTAGTAAATCTAGAGTATCCCATTGAGAATTTTTGTTCTTTTACTTTCCTGGGTTGTAACACACATCTTCTCTTGAATATGTTAATTCCTGCTCCGCTGTCAACGAGGAATTTATGTTGTCGTCCATTGGATCGTAGAAACACTGTGGGTAGTCTTCCTGTTGTGGCGTTAATTCGTAGGTCTGGTCTATTGGTTCCTCCATTTCCTCCTTGCGTGTCTCTATACTGTGGACTCCTGGTGGTCTCGGATATTGGCCGGGTGATCGAAAATTTCTACATTAACTGGAGGCATGTCCGATTTGATTACAGTTGAAGCATGGTATTCGTTCGTCTTGCCGGAAGGTTCTTGGCATTGGATTAGGTGTTGGAGTTGGTTTTTTAATGATTGGGTTGGGATTATTGGTCGATGGTCGTTCCATTGGTCTTGGTCGTCGATTTCGATCTTCTCTGAAGTATCGCTCAATGTCGGTGGCTTTCTTTTCAGCTTCGATGATATTGCATGGTGGGTTGGCGAGTAATACTTGTCCTATTTCGGTTTTTAGGCCTCGAATGAAATCGGTTACGAAATCTCTCGGCATTCTATCGTTCATTGCTCGTCTAGTAATTTCGTTTATTATACTATACTGTAGCTTATTGAACCCTCTGCGGAACCTGATGATATAACTTTAAACATCTTCGTTGTAGTGCTGTGTTATTTCGCGTAGCTGATCTAGTTGTTCCCGAACGGAGGCTCGGGTGGCTACGTTTCGTCGTAGGGCATCGTACAGTTGTACGTATTCACTAATCCGTATATTGCGGATGGTCATTGCGGCTTTACCTGTAATTTTATCGATCTTAATTATTTAGAGTATGATTGATTGTTCGCTACACATGGCTCGTACTTCATGCACTTCGCGTATGAACTCTGCTACTCCGATATCGTCTTCGCCATTTAGCTGTGGAATACACACTACCGCGTCTCTGGCTCGTAAGCTCGGAGAAGTAAATTGCGATAAACGGTCTTCACCGGAAAGGTGATCGTTAGCTTCTGGTCGAATCGGTGGAGGAGGTCTGTTTCTCGCGATACTAGATTCGTCTAATTCAGTAGTAGCGTCATGTTCTAAATTCATTTTCGAGATATTTTTTCCTAATAGTTCTATCTCTGCTGCACGTTTTTTATTTTCACTATCGGCCATTTGTTTTGTTTCTTTTATACATTGCGCAAGAAGTTCGATTCGCTCGTTTTGTTTCTGCATAGCGTCGAGTATGGTACGAGTTAACATATCCATAGCTCCGGGTGCAGAAGCGATGTTAATGGCTTCGATTTTTTCTTTTCGAGGTGTGGACATGATTTTAATGGAGTTTATTGAATTTGGACTATCGTTGTTAATTGAACTCGAAATGGTTGAGGAACAGTAACGTAAAAATGAATCCAGATTTCCAGCTTACCGTAGTAGCTATGGTCGTTGAGGAGCCTCTGGGGTGTTTCCTCTCTGGTTGGTTCTAGATCCCGAATCCTGAGTCCTGAGACGAGTCCTCTCGTCTAGTTTCACCGTAGTGGAACGTTGAAAGTTGCTGCAGGGCTTCGTAGTAACAAAGATTCGTAGTGGTCCGCTGATCCTTCGATCTTCAATGATGCGCGTACACCGAAATCGTAATTTCGTTTTCACTGAACCGAATGGATCCTGGCAGGATCGCCAAAATGTAGCGTAATAATTTATCAAATTATTACAAAGTGTCGATCTCAAAACAGGAGATCGAGCTCTTTATTTTCACACACTTATACAATAAACTTTTTATTATATTCGAGGTTCACAACGATAAGGTTTTGGGTAGGTTTTGAGTATTGCAGACTGCAGACTACTCGGGTGATTTTGAGAGGAGTATTTATATGAGTTTAGTGGTTGGAGTGGGAGAAAGACTTTGGTCGTATCATGTTTGGATGTTACTCTGGACTTTGGTCATGTTTGGAGTGACTGGATGTTACCCTGGCGGTGACTCATGATAAAATAATTAGGATTAACTATCTTATCGGAGTCAAATTTACCCTGTGACAACGGAATGGGTGATGTGGACAAGGATATGAATCCAATCCTGAGAAAGGGCAATTATGAATATTGGAAGACGATGACGGAAGCCTCGTTGGTTTTCCTGGGCTGTTGGGATACAGTAGAGCCAGGATTTACGGCAGCAGAAAGGTTGAAACCAGACTGCATGAAAATGGACAACAAAACACGTGCATACATTTTCCAGCATGTTCTCGGGAATATCAGAACCTTGAAAACAGTGAAGGAATGCTAGAAAGCACTGGAAGACGTCCATGGGAAGTCTACATCGATGGACATTGTTTTATGCATGCGGGAATTGGGAACTATTGAGAAGACCCCCAGCATGGGTATCTCCGCGTACTGCGGAAGGATCCAGGACCTGTATGATAAGTTGTCCAGTGTAGGTATAAGAATTGAGGACCACGTTATGGCATGTTTCCTTTTGGCCGGCCTCGTGGCGGATCCAAATTACGCGACGTACATTAGAAAAACAAGGATCGATAAGGATCTAACCGCGAGAGTCGTGAAATCCGATCTTCTACTCGAAGAAAGAAGCATCGCATCGAAGAAAAGCTGTGAACACTGCATGTCACATAAGGAATCTATGCCCATCCGCTGCTATCGGAGACAAGATCCGATTGGAATTATGGAAAAGTAAGGGATGCGACTTCCAAGGGGAGACCAACAAACTGAGAGTATTTGGGCGCAGAGTCTAGTACCTGAGAAACCCAAGCGGAGGAAAATTTGATAGCAGGGCAGATGAAGGGATATTTGTAGGTTACGACCGACAGGTCAAGGGTTATAGGATCTACCTGCCAAAAACCACGAAAGTAATAATATCTTGTCATGTCAGGTCCGCGGGGAATGTGTTTCCCTACAAGAGTGTTAAGATGGATACGAGTAACATAAAAAGGAGATTCTCAGAATAGATATGGGACGTAGAAGATTTGGAACTTGGAAGGGGAGTTGACTAGACTGACGTTGAAACTCAAAGTGATGGCGAAAACAATGAAGGGGAGACTGACTATTTCATGGACAATTTAACGAATGACAATAATCGGGGGGAGGTTGTGAGTGTACCAACTGTGCCCAGGAGGTCGGCAAGATTACATAAGCCAAAGACGTGTGATAGTTGCGCTCATGTTGCCACCGTTTGCAAAACTTAAAGCATGTGTGTATCTGTGAATGTGTACGAAGTACTGAGGGGGCCAGATGCTCAAAAGTGGACTGATGCAATAATGAAGGAGTTAGACAATCTAAATGGACTGATGCAATAATGAAGGAAAGTGGACTGATGCAATAATGAAGGAGTTAGACAATCTAAAAAATAAAGATGTGTGAGACATTGTGCAAAGACCTTTGAACAAAGATATTATAGACTGTAAGTGGGTGCTTGGCATAAAGAGAGACCCTGATAGATATAAGGCTAGACTTGTAGCTCGGGGATTCTGGCAGAGACCTAGACCTAGATTATTCAGAAACCTTCAGTCCAATAGTAAAGCACAGAACTCTAAGAATTCTGCTTGCTCTGTGTGCAGAGAATGAGCGGGGTTACGAGCATATCGATGTGGAGTGTGCATATCTCAACAGTCTGCTGGATAAGGATATATATATGGAGCAACCAGAATTTTTTAAAGTTCCAGGAAAAGACAGGACTCGATATGTGTGCGAATTCAAAAAGAGCCTGTATGGACTGAAGCAAGCCGGAAGAATGTGGTTTAGGTACATTAATAGTATTTTGAAAGGTATGAGTCTGAATCCATGTATGAGTGATCCGTATATGTATGTGAATGCGTCTAAAGATCTGATTGTAGCTGTGTATGTGGATGACATTCTTGTGTTTGGAACGAAGGATAGGATTGAAGTGTTCAAAACCAGAATTAAGGAGAAATTAGATGTTAGGATGCTGGGTACCGATACTCAGTTTCTATCCATCCACCTGAGTAAGCCAAACAGTGCCACTGTCGCATTTGTCAAATGCTGGATCTGTTTGACATTGCTCATGAGGTTGGAGTATCAACGCCGCTAGCTAAGAAATGTGAAGCCGGTTTTGACAGTGAGTATGATGAGTCTTTCGATAATAAGTTGTACGAACAACGTACTGATGTTGCGTGTGCAATAGGGAAATTAAACCAAAGATGCGCAAATCCGACTGTACCCGATTGGAAAGCAGTGAGGTGGATTTTCAAGTACCTGCTTTTTACCAAAGACTTGAAGCTAGTGTACCAAAGGACAGGACAACCTTTGAAGGTGTTTTGTTCAGACTTTGCGGGCTGTACGGTAGATAGGAAATCTAGGAGCGGGTATGTCTTCATACTCGCTGGTGGTGCAATATCTTGGTTATCCAAGAAATAATCAATTATAGCTTAATCGACATGCGAAGCGGAGTTTGTAGCGATGCAAGAAGCAGCAAGGGAAGCTGTGTGAATTTCCTTACTGTTAAATGGAGTTAAGACTCAATATTTTACCAAAGCTATGGGGCTTGTAGACACTACGATCAAAGGGGAGTGTTGAGAAAAGATAAGTTGGCATGATCGCTAGTTACTGCAAGCTAAGTTAGAACGATGCTCTTTTGTCTTAGAAGTCGACCACATGTTAATAGACTAAGTTAATCTAACTAAATTAATCTAAACTAAGTTATCCTGTGTGTTAAGACGTGTTGTGCGAGGCGGAGAAATATAGAGAGAAAAATCGAATCTGTGTGAATCGATTAATTATCAACCCCAAACCTACATCAATTAACAGTAATTGTATTATAAACCTGTTTTGATAATAACATTTTAATAAACGGCGACTCTTAACTAAAACTTTTACAACACTATTCCGAGTGATAACCTTGACAATATATCAAAAAATTGTCAAAATCAAAAGTGACCCGCATCTTGTGAATATTTCACAAAATTCTTTTATCTCCATGATACTGTGCTACTGTGTTTTATTAGTTGCTATTATTAGTATTTAGTATACATTGCGTTGCTACTATACTATCTCTTTATAACAGTTATTAATTCGTAAATTTTGCATCAAAGTGAAAATTACAATTAATTATAGTTGCTTCACCCATAAGCGAAAAAAGTAGACTTATAAGAGTTTAACTATGTATATTCTTATTCCAGTTTTGGAAAAATTGAATACAAAATGTAATGGAAATTTGATGTTTTAAAAAGGTTTATTTATTTGTTACGTTTTTGTTTGATTCGTTTTGGTTGTGTTGCCGTTAATTTTTGAATTTAGATTAAATGGTAGCGTTGTCTGATGTTTAATGCGATTGGCAATTAAACTCCACGTTTCGGCTAACCTGCTACGCGCAGGAGTACTGGCACGGGAGAGAATCAAAGTTGGTGAAAATGAATGTTCGCTTAATCCTATTATATTATTAGACAAATATTCTCCACAACAAATGTTTATTCTAATTCTAATTGGGTATTGACAGAATTGTCGTTGAGATTTCGAATACTCGAAGTTACAATCGTTCGCGATACGTTTTCACTCTTATTAATTACAAGATTTTAATTTAATTGATTTTCAATAATTTACAAATTGACAAATACAAATACGTCGATTAAAAAAACTGACAAGAACTGGGAACTAATGAAACAAAGAACTAAAAGCTAAAAAACTAAAGGACTACAGAACTTAAGAACTAAGAGCAAAAAACTAAGAGCTGAAAAACTAAGGAACTAAAGAATTGAAAGGCAAAGGAACTGAGAAATTAAGAGCTAAAGGAATTGAGAACTAATCGCTATGAACAAATAAATTACTTGCCAAGAATTGGGGAACTGATCGCCAAGAACCAAGGAATTAATCACCAAGAACTGAGGAACTAATCACACAGAACTGAGGAATTAACTACTCTGAACTAAGGAATTATCTCTCCTTCTTCTATGTCGCTTATTTATATTTAGGTCCATCGCCATGTGACGGGTTATTCCGTGGGGGTTGTGAGGCTCGAATTTGGTTTCTATACAAATTGTTAAAATTTATTTAAATTTCAAATTGGAACGCTCACTCGCGCTATTGGTAGTTTTAGTCTACGTTATGGCGCGTGCGCAGCGCGAGACGTGACATATTCATACAGTTTTTGGAAAATAAAAAGATTGAGGACATATTTGTGAAGAACTGTTGCTTTTTATTGTTTTATCATGTTGTCATTGTTTCACATTTTCTGTCACTTTTCATATTATAGGGAATAAATTATATTAAAACATTTAAGGCAACGTATAATAAATATCTGATGATTAAGATCCATGCTACTTTTTATATTAATGTTTCAGATTATTGGGATTGTCCTCTGGAGAAGAGAATCTCTATAACAATAAGTAACGAATTATGTATTGGTAATGCTTCAGATGTCGATAACAGAGTATCCCATTTGATTTCATGTTCTAACATGTAGCATCTAGTATGTCGAGGTAATAAAAAAGACTATACAGTAAAAAATAAAGAAGAACATAATTCTCTCCTTTGAAAATTAGTCTATGTTGAAATTAAAAAACATTAAATTATAGTTGTTCAGTTATATGTTATCTAATATTATTTTGTAAAATTCGTTACTCAAACAAACGCTTAAAATGCAAAAAAGTAACTTTGAATAAAAATTTCTGCAATTTGTTTTCTTCTTTTTAACGTTTTAAGAAACTTTATTAATATACAGGGTGGTTGGTAGCTGGTAGTACAAGCGGAAAGGGGATGATTCTACGCGAAAAAAGAAGTCGAAAATATAGAATAAAAATTTTTTTTAATTTTTTTTTTTTTTTAATTTTTCTATCGAGACAACGATCTACAGTAAGATCCCTTATAACGAGACTTGATAAAGTGCACGCGTACCGAGCGAAAATTCAAAGCCGATTTTCTCGAAAACAAAGCCTCAAACGAAAAATTTTTATTGTATATTTTCGACTTCTCTTTTCGCGTAGAATCACCTCTTTCCGCTTGTACCACCAGTTGCCAACCACCCTGTATGCGCACAATCTTTTATCTAACATGGCAGCTGTCGTGTATTGTTGTGTATATTATCGTACAATTACCTGCCAATTATAACATTCTCCGATGAAAAATAAACATTAATTGATCTTAATGAAATCAATTGGTGTTGGTTGATTTATTTTGAAAATCACTTACTCCACCAATCCGTATCGAAGTGCCGATGAATTTGACGTGACAACAGCAACTAGATGGAAACCGAAAATGCTGGTAGGCAACCGAACCATCGTCCTCTAGGCCTAGGAGTTGATTATAAACGAACTTTTGTTTACATGTGGTTTCGTAACCCATTGGTATGCCATACTTTATGCTGCAGCGTTGGCCTTCATTACTATAAAAAAGAAAATGGTTTAAAGATCATTTTTAAAGTGCAAGCGTTTTCCCTAATTATCAATTTGTTTTATAATGAAAGCTCCAGCCAGTAACTAAAGTCTATCGAAACCTATATCAATTTTACGAATTTAGTTAACATATTTCCAAAAAATGATGTAATTATACATTTAGTTTACAAAAATCATAGAACGAAATTATATCAGAAATTGCAAAACTTTGAACATTATTAATGTTAAGAAGAATGCAAATGTTTACGGTGGACTTATAAAATATTATTATAATATTAAATCTATTTTACTTATAATTTTATGCAAATATAACAAGTGTACGCACTCTTTCCAGACATTGTATTTTTTATTCTTTTTACTTTCTTTTCATCTTAGGTTAAATTGTTATACAATTTTAGTGCTGAAAGTATTAACATTCGTGACTGACTGCATGTTTTGCATGAGAAGCTTTAACACATTAATAGAAATTGCATTGTTATATCGATAAAAATAACTTGACTTTGTTCAAGATACTTTTATCCTTCGCGTACTGCCTGGAAAAGTATAGTTACATGGATAAAACTATAGCTATAGTATAATAGTGAGAATAAAATAAAACATGTATAGACATTATCTTTTCTACGTTTAATCTTATAAAATTATTGAAATTGTAATAAGCAATCAATCAAATTCTAACATAATCTTAAAGTCTTTATCCTCGGGGATACGCATACCTCAGATTTAGGACCACTGATCTAGGGTATTCAATAATGAAATTGACAAAAATAAGATTTTCAATAATTATGTATTCCCATTATTGTTGTCTATGCCGTTCAATCTGTTATAATATTCTACTTCCTATATACGTAGTAGCAATACATATTATTACATAAAGCTGTTAGCATTTTGTGGCGTGAAAGAAATAGAGTGAAAAGGGGTTAGTGAAACATTTCTTTCATCTAGACAACAAAATATATACCTACATGCATTTTTCTATACGTACTCCCTGTTTCAATTCTTCGTTGTTAAGAATATACTTCCACTCGTTGTTCATATTTTCCGCCGTTTTCGGAAGGACGACATGCTCCTGACATTATATTGAAATTATTGCATTATGAAAGATACAGATAGAAATCGAATACTAAATTATACTTACAGATGATGCACAGAACGATTCTGTCTCAATAGAATCTTCTCCTAGCCTGGGTTTGAGCATATCTATCTGAAAGTAAAACCAAATTTGGAAAATACAATAGAATATGTCCATTATTTTCGGATATTATGTAGATTTATAAAAATAAAAGAATACAATAATTTATAGGATTTAAGAAAAAGATAAGATAAAAGTGTTAGAAAAAGACAAATTAGTATCGGAAAAAATTGAAGAACATGATAAATCATATTTATTATATTTTACAGCAAAGCAGCTTTAAAATTCAATTAATTATCAGTCAATCTTCTATTATTAAAATTCACTCTATATTTTTTGTGGGTTTACGTATTTCTTTTTTTTAAATCCATTTTAAAGTTTGCAAAATATTAGGATTTTTTAATTTCTACTCATAATGTTGAAACATTATTTGTTTTGATATAATAGTTATATTTTTGGTTTCTATACAGCTTCGTCAATCTAACAGCTATTTAAAAATAACTAACATCTTTGAAATTAACATATTTTCATTTCCAATTATATCATTATAACATTCTCCTGTTTTATTGTAAGATGACATTAAAATCAGAAAATCGACAAATATGTACTTATCATGTCTTTTTCCTATAATCTTCAATTAGAAAATGAAAATACTTTTACAAAAATGGATACCAACCATGTCAACAGAAGTATAATTTACAAGATGTGGATTTTTGGCAATGATATCTTTCACCAAATTCGTAGGATAATTTGGAACATCTTCACAGTAGCTTTGCCCTTTGCAAGAAGGTATTACTGATCCCACCCTCGGTTGTATCGGTGCGGTATGATCATCAAGAAATGCGATGTTACCATTTTCTAATATTGTTCAACACATGGAAGAAAAAAGAAGGGAAGACGTTAAATAAAGTATTGACGTTCTTCCCTAACTAAAAATAAAATAGGAGAAAATCTTTAATTTTGTTAAGAAACAAACTAGCTGTGTTCATCTTCGTCAAAGATCTGGTTTCTCCCATTGCATTGTTTTGATTTAGAGGCCACTTCCAACTTCCTGATGGAGCAGCGCGGGGTTTCTCATACGATCGACGAGAATCGCTGTGAGCACTGTTGAAGACCTTTCAAAAAATAAGATACATTGAATTTGTAATGTTTCTGACTCTACGAATTCCCAGAAAATTTCCTTTTTTTAGAAACACTTTTTTTAGAAACAATATACTTATGTTTATATTTATATGCATAGTTTTAAATATTTTCAGCGACAAAAGAAAATTTAAAAAAGGATAGTTTATTGTTTCTCAATTATTAATATTAAAATATTCCTTAGAAATTTTCATTCATATTGATTAATCATTAAAACTTAAAAATTGAATGATTCAAATTGTACTTTGAAATTTCTTAAAACTTCTACGTGCTAAAACTGCAGAGACGGTCGCTAGTTCAAGTCGTAAAAGCAATTTGCCGAATCAACATATTGTTTCAATCAACAGCTTTGTAATCTAACTATCCAATTCAGTCGGCTTATTGCGATTATTTGGTTCGAATGTCAAAAAATTTTTAATAGTTAACTCAAAGAAAAGTTTAGAATAGAAATATATCCATGCTAACAGTGATTTTTTCGTATTTTCTTCAAACTTAAAAAATTTGGTCAATAACAGAGAGACATTATTCCACTACTAATAGACACTAGTCCAGAATGATTCAATGAATGCAACAACAAAAAAATTAGAAGCTATCACGAAAAGTATTACTACGATCAAATCTAAACTATCAGAGCGAGAGATTCGTAAATTTCAGGATGCAGTTCTTTTAGCCTTTGAAAAACATTATTTTTTATTAATTATTCATTGTAGATTCATTGTAGATTCATTTTTTCAAATGGTCGAGGACATTAAAATTTGTAAGTTCTTTTATCTAAAACAAATATCATTCAATTAAACCTTTCAGAACCAACATAAAATTATTTTTTTAAATTAATTATTAATAATAAAAACATCTTTTTGAGCGATTTTGTAAAAAAATTTGTCTTAAGAAGTATAACGAAAGTATGAAAGCACATATATATGTTAACTAATAACTTTGTATAAAGTTATTGTAAGTAGTTGGTAACCTAACCCCAATTTATTAAGGTTTTTTTTCATGTTACTTACCAACAACAAGACAATTGCAACATTAAATACAAAAACTATGGTCTGATGTTTCTTCATCTTACACTGTCAGATAGCTTTTCTCTTTTTCCTAAATGATTTCTTTTTCCTTTTTTTCCTAAAATACAATACTTTAATTTTAACCAGAGTTTGATTTCGCTCGACCAACTTTCTCTATTATTCGATATACGTATATATGTTGCGTGTCCAATGATGATACACACTGCACTTGATACCCGCCGAATCAACGGCTGGAAGTTCGGATGATAACTGCTAACGACACTAAAATGAACTTGTGCTCGCCGTAACAAGTTATTTCTGTTCTGTCTAATCACTCAACCAGACTCTAGTGTAAGCAATACCTGATAATCGAGTGTTGAGCAACGAAACCAGTATCACGTCCAGCTTTTTGATTACTGTTGGCTATCAAAGTTTATAGTGTACTCTGTACTAAAAGCATCAGATCCAATCATAGAGCTTATACTAATGGAGGGGCTTGCTTATATGGCAAGCATAGGCAAATCAGTACCAGGAGAATTAACAAGGAGGTAGATATGTTGTCGTAACTGCGCCCTTCTCTCTCCCACTCCGAGTTTTTCTCTTGTGAAGATAAGACGCACAATAATATCTTCTATATATTATAGTATTATATTAATAATATATAATAATACCTCCTATATATCAAATAACAAAGCGTATCAAATACGGAAACCTCCGATAATTGACAAAAAAGAATCTCTGGATAATTGCATCGTCGTTATCCCCACCACTAGGAGGAGATTCCCCTCGACGCATCATGGAGCTCGACTGGTCATCACAGTCGATTACTGTAATATGATCCAACGCCAGATATCGCTAAGACAATGTATGTAAATACCAATTCAAAAGTGAAACATTTTTATTTTTGACGTTTTTTAAATTAAACTTCTACTAACGTAGTTGTGAGATATTTCTGGTTAAAATAAAATCAAACACGATATAGTTTGAATTATATTTATTTATTCATATTTATTATCACTTATTTAATTATCTTTTATTAAGTAAGCAAACATGAATCTTATTCCAAATAAATAGTCCGTTCGCGTTTTAAGAGACGTAACAGAATAAGTGGAAAGATTTTCTGGAAAGAATATACATTTGTTTTTAAAAGAGCGCCAATCATATTGTATTAATTAATTATAAAAATATTAAATATTAATAAATAAATTTAAAATAATATGAAAAGAACATACTCGATGTTGCAACTATACATCGCTATATGTCGCGCAAAACAATCACTAATTCTGAGTTTTTCGAAACTTGTGTGGATTCACGTGTCATTAACATCCGCTTCTTTGTCTTGATCTCTGATGTTAGAATCCGTTTCCAGAAACAACTGTTCACCGTAACCAAATATCCATTTTTTTATCTACGTTACATAAGATACCAAAATAAGCCGTGAATCATTTCTAAAATCCGCAACAATGAAAATTGTCACAGACAGTTTTCTATTAAGGAAGTTGTTAAAAAGTTTGTTATCATTTGCAAAAATTAGAAAGTTATTTAGCAAGCTTGAGGAGATCAGCATAACTCTTCTCTATGTTTGTGGTTTACAAAAGAACACTCCAGTATTTTTGATTTTATACCATTTAATACATTCCGATTTTTTTTAACCAATTATCATTTTTATCAATATGATGCTCATTTTATATAACATGATCAATTTTTCATGTTACATAACACATACACGATGCTGACACGATGATACATAGATGATACATGATGCTTATTGTGACTGTATCTGTAATTATATTGAGGAAAAATTATATTAAATATAATAGTGAAACAATTATCCGCAATCTAGGTATTATGTGTAGAATGAAAAAATTTGACAAGGTTAGTATTCCTTACGAATCTTATGCACTGTTCTTGCACGTATCTTAATTTTTTGTGACCTAGAATTGACCTTGATCGACTATTAGAATACTTAGATTTTCATAAGAACATTTTCTTATATCACCAATATTTTCGACAATATCCCACTGTCATGTTTTACGTGCCTCACCCTGCATAACATTTTGTTCAATTATAATATCCAGCATAGCGAATCCTCAACGATATACCTTTGCCACCCGAGGTTTATCCTTGTTAGTTAAGGTTACGAGGCCTACTACTAACATTTTCTGTAGCTCCTAACGTTAACCATATGTCGAAACATTCTCACAACAGTCTATTTCTTCCGGCATTTCTTTCAACAGTCTATTTGCTTCGGCAAGCAGCGTAATTAACAACACTAGATTTGCCTCTGTAGCCTCGTAGCCGCTCTCCTCAGATTGACTCGTAACCATATAATAGGACATATGATGACATGATTACGTTGTTTAAATTTGAAACAAATATGAAAATGTATATGAAAGTTCTATAAGTATCTATTGCTAGCGTACACTTCACAAAAATCACAAAATTGCTTAAACAGTCAATTATCTACTATATTAATAAATCATACATATACATTATATACATACATTATATACATTTATATACATGTCGGAGAGGTGACAGCCGTAGGGTTGTGGGTGTTTGATAAATCTTCATTGGAACTGGCCATCGTCGCGGTATAACAAAGGGACGGTTGACTAACACGAGTATGGATAGTACAGGCTTGACAATCAACCGTGGCGGTTGGACACTCGCGATACTAGTGATACTGATCTTAGGTCCAATAACAAATCCGCGGCCAACGGGATGATAGATCTACTTGCGCGATACACTAACTCAAGCGTGTAACACTTACGAACCGTAAGGCGTTACTCCTCGTCAATGAGATCGCAAAGGGAATGCATCTCCGTCCCGATGATGCCACCGAGAAAAACTATGATGGGGTGTGTCTAAGAACGCGAGATCATCGGATTCGTCGAGGACAACCTTCGTTCAGAAAGTAAG